GGGGTCCGGTCGGGGGTGGGGTTCTGCAGCCGGCTGCCCCCTCCCGGGCCTGAGACTGGGTTCCCGGAAGGCCGCGCGGCGTTAGACGCTCAGTGCCTGTTCAGCGCGCCAGTGGCCGGAGGGTGAATTAACGCATTACTAGAATATTCAGGGAGTGTGGCTTCCGGTTTCTTATTGTATCACCTGCTCTAAAACACTGTTGGGCCCATGCGAAGCACTGAGTCTATGGTAGTTATTACAGTTGTTGCTTTTTTTTTTTTATTTGCGGGGGGGGGGGTCATTTGACTTTATTCCGTTAAGTCTGAAAGGGTTTGCGGGGGGCTTACAGAGATTAAAAAGCAGACAGACCCTTTTTCTGCCATTTCATTCTAAAAGCTCACAGTTGCATTGCCATCACTGATTGCTTGTGAAATTAGTGTTTCTCAGAAGTTTATCCACGTCAGTATTTTTTAAATACCTACTATGTGCCAGACAGTGCCGCAGGCCCTGAGGTAGATGGGTCACACTTAGGGAAGGGGAAACCTAAGTGTCTGAATTGTAAAGCAAGTCAGGGAGGACTTACCTAAGGGCAGAGTGATAGTCTGTTTAACAGCTGGCTGGAGGAGGAGAGCATGTATACACACATGAATTTATTACACATTTTGCTAGTGTAAAGCTCGTGCGGCACCGCCTACAGAAAACAGTAAAACACATAACACTCTTTCTCATAAAGCCCCTGGACCCAGTTGATTCTCAGATGTCCTCAGATATTGAGAATGCTGTTGATTCTTTCTGCTGAAATCTTGTATCCAGAGCCAACCTCTGGTTAAAATTCAATCATAATCTATCAAATTGAGTTGCTTCCCAACCCACTGAGTTGTTTTCTCGATAAATTTATTGTCATTAAGTATAATGTAGTATGAACATTGGTTGATGTTCCGTTAATGAGTAAGAAATGAACCAGAAAGTTACAGATCTTCATTCATCAGTGATATAAGCTACTTCTTCGCTGTACTGGATCATTTTCCAACACTGAACAAATATTTTGTGGCAGAATGTAATGGTTAAAGATTGGACACAATGTTAAGTTTAGCCATTGCGAATTTTTTCTGTTACTTTTTTTTTAAGTTCACCATTCACTTTAATTTTTTTGTTTTGTTTTAGCTCTGTTTTTTTTTAATGGAAGTACTGGTGATTGAACCTGGGACCTCATGCATGCTAAGCACACACTCTACACTGAACTATACCCACCCCTACTCCATTACTTTCTTAAGTCTACACTAGAGGTTGGTAAATGTTTTCTACAAAGAGCCAGATACATATTTGCCGGACACAAATGGTCTCTGGCACATATTCTTCATTTTGTTTTATTTTTTACAAACCGTTAAAAATGTAATAGCCATTCTTAGCTTGAGCAAGGGCCAGGTTTGGCCCTCAAGCTCCAAATTGTAGCATTTTCATTTTCCACAGTGTGACTATTGCTCTGATGGCCAGTTTCAAACTGCCGACCTTGGGCATCTGAAGCAATGTGAAATGTCTTGAGTGCAGAGTTGGGAACAGCATTCCCACCCTATGGGTACAACAGACGTAAGTAACCTCGAAAGCACAGGTCGTGGTAAAGTAATTAGGAAGTAGTGAGTTTTGAGAGTGTGTTTTTAATAGAACTGATTTTACTGTAAGTTTATGTAATTTAAATTTTGGTAACGTCTGTGTTACCAAGCACACAACTCCATGCTGGTCTCACCTCTGAGTGGACCTGGGGGTGGGGAAGCGAGGCTCCTGGGAGGGTAGACAGTGTTCCCTTTCTAAACCTGGGTTACACTTAGACAGATACTCAAAGGTGACCCCCAACGAGGCAGAGAACCCCTGTATCATCATCTCCCTTGAGTGTGGGTGGGGCCTGTGATGTGCTTCTAACCAATAGAATTTGGTGAAAGGGATATGATGTCATCCTCTCCCTTTTAAAGGGCGATGGACATCCCACCCGTCACTTCCAGGATCCCATGATGGCTGGAGACAGAGACTCTCCCGCTGGCCTCGCAGGAGGGAACAGCCACGTTGTGAAAGCCGCTGGAGAGGGGAGCTTGGCCCGGGACTGCGGAGGCCTCTGGGACCTGAGGGCAACCAGCAGCCCAGGAGAAACCAGGCCGACACCTCGACTGCGGCCACGCGGGACCCTGAGCAGAGGACCCGCTGAGCCGCGCCCGGACCCCTGCCCTGCAGACCCCGAGGCAGTGAGTGTGTGTTGCTCTAAGCTGCTGGGTGTGTGCTCGTTTGTTCTGCAGCCTAGCGCCGTTTCTCTACACGTGTTACGCATCTCAGTTTTTGACGGCCGTGGGGGTCGGAACGCAAAGACAGCAAAAGGAGCGGGAGCAGCCGGGCGCCGCGCTGGGGCCACTCTGCTTGCCTCCGGCGGCCTCGCCGTCCCGCCCGTGGCCTGGCTGCGCTGCGGAGTGGGTGCGAGGCTGAGGGCTAGGTTCAGCACCTGGCGTTTCCTTTCAGCCCCAGTGCTTCCTGCCTGCCTGTGTCTGCCAGCCTCTGTTTCCTTGCCTTTAAAACAGAGAGGTCAGTGGTCCCTGCCTCATGGGGCAGTGTTAGGATTTGGTGGGACAGCCTCTTTCAGTGGGCCGTGGCAGGTGGCCCTCACTGGTTCCAGAGCTGTCAAGGGGTAGGGGGGTGGGCCTGGGTGAGTCTCCACCACGCGGGGTGACCGCCCCAGTGAATGATTCAGGAGTCAAAGTCAGTGCCCGTCTGCCATTCCCTGAGCCGTTCAGGAAAGACCGAATTCAAAGAAGCACGGAGCTTATAGAGAAGGGTTCATTGTCTTCTGAGAGGCCACCATGAGAAGAGATGGCCTCTCTCTCCGATGCCGTGGCTGAGGGTGAGCCGTGGGCGGCCTGGGGTGATGCAACTGCTGGGCTTCCGGCCTCCACGGGAGGAGGCCAGAGCCGGCCTCATCATCAGCGCAGGCAGCCAGAGCTCTGCGTCAAGCCACACCGAAATTCCACCTGCATCCAGGTCCCGGGTGTGTGGGCTGACATGTTCAGGCCATCTTGAGTTGGGTGTTCAGACACCTGATGGGCTGGACCTGCATCCTGATTGGTCGGCCATGTGAAGCCATTAGCCAGGTCCGTACACCAGGGGGGCTGGGGACAGGGACAGGAGGCGTTGGGTCCTGTGTCTGCAGCTCCACTGGGCTGGGGCCACACGTGTGGCACAGCAGCTACTGTGTTTTCACGGCTGAAGCCCTTTGAGGCTCCCTGCGTGGGACCCGCCATTGCTCTGTGGCTCTTCTGTCACTTAATCTGCAGAACTTGCCCTGGGAGGAGGGTGCTGTCCTCACCTGCCGCAGCTCAGGGGCCACAGAAAATATCTCAGGCAGGGTGGCTGGAACAACAAACACTTGTCTTCTCCCCGTCCTGGGGTCTGGAAGGTTGAGATCAATGTTGGTTTCCTGGGGCCTCTCTCCTTGGCCAGTAGACGGCCATCTTCTCCCCGTGTCCCCACACAGTCGTCCCTCTGTGCGTGTCTGTGTCCTGACCACCTCTTCTCATAAGGACACCTGTCGCATGGGATCAGGGTCTGTGTTGTGACTTCACTTTACCTTACTCACCTCTGTAAAGGCCGCATCTCCAAATAGGGTCACACTCCGAGGGACCAGTGGTTCAGGCATCCACAGATGAATTTGGAGGGGGTGCCGTTCAGCCATAATCACCCCCCACTTTGCAGACAAGGACACTGAAGTAGAGAGAGGCCCTGTCAGTTGCACGAGTTCACATGGCTTACGAGGCACGTGGCCAGGTCTCACGCCAGGCGGCCTTCCCCCCTGCTGTGGACTGCACGTCTGTGTGTCCCCCGTGTGATTGTATCAGGAGTTGGGGCCTTTGCGAGCAGCAGGCTGTGAGGGTGGGGCCCTCAGGGATGAGATTGGTGCCCTTGTATACAGAAACACAGGAGCATCCCCCACCCCCGCCACGTGAGGACAGCGCAGGAAGGCAGCTGTCTGCAGACCGGGAAGCCAGCCCATGCCAGATGTCTGATCAGCCGGCACCTTGAATTCGGGCTTCCCGGCCTCCAGACTGTGACAAATAAACGTCTGTTGCCTAAGCTGCCCTGTCTGTGGTATCTTTGTTACAGCAGCTGAGCTGACCAAGGCACTCCCCTCACTGACCGCTGCTCTGTCACCTCTGAAAACGTGTCGTCTAACACTTCAGAGCTCCGATGAGATCGCCATTAGCTGTGTCATCATGTCCCCTCTGCGCTGCGCCCCAGACACACTCAGGGCCCAACTCGGCCTCCACGGATGCTGCCACGCTCCTGGCTTGAATTTGCACGGATGCTCCCACCCTGATGGGCACTCAGCAGTCATCAGATGCATGAAAGGACGGAGCTTAGGGCCTGGGGAAAGGAACCCCCAGGACAACCTTCCGATTACCCCCCATTCAACCTCGGGGACAAATGCAGCCCCAGGAACCATCCAGCCGACGTGGGATCCGTGTGGGCATGGTTTCCAGGCCTGGCAGACTGGCTCGCTCTCCTTCCAGTTTAGCTGTGCCTCGTCACCTGCCTCTCACTACCCAAGCCCGCCTCGCTCCTGTGCAGTCACAGGAGCCGCGCTTGGCCTGCCCAGGGCTCAGCCAAGCCTGGCTCATGGCTGTGTCCCCGTCCCCAGGTCTGCGCCTGTCTCCCGGGCACACCAGCCTGGCGGCCACGCTCCTTTGGTGGAGGAGCCCTGCTTCCACCCCGCTTCTGGGGGTCTGCACATCGCTGGCCCTGCCCTTGCGCTTTGCTCTGCGGGATTTCATAAGAGAGAACCAGGCCTCTGGGCCCCAGCGTTCTGTGGCCCCCGGTGCCCAGCTGATGGGCAGGCTGCCGAGAGGGGAGCCTGATGCACCCTGCGCTGCCCGGCTGCAGGGCCAAATCTGTCCGGGAGGCTGGCCCAGCCAAGACGAAAGGGGGCAGCTGCCCACATGGGACCCCCAGCCCGTTTTCTGCAAACAAAGGCCCGGCAGCCTGGAGCCCACGCTGCAACTCTGTTGAAACCTCGAGGTGACTCCCTATTAACCACTCCCTTTGGTGCTTCAAGACCAAAAAGGGAGTAAAGCAAACCTCTTTCTAAGCAGGAAGAGCTTTCCAGAGCAAAGGGCGTCCCCCAGCCCTGCTGCCAGCGGAGCACGAGAAGGCCCTGGGCCTCCCAGACTCACACAGCTGGGAGCTGCCTGGCGCGGGGTCTGGACCAGAGGCAGGGCGGCCAACAAGGGGTCCCGCCTGCACGCAGACCCTGCCTGGTTTTATTTTAGAAACCGACAGGACCCAATTAAATGATTTGTTTTTAAAGTAGACACATACTAGGAGGATAGGAAGGAAAAAACCAAAGCTCCCACCTCCTCTCTTTCTCCAAGGTGCAACCTCAAATCCCAGCTCCTTTGTCTGCTCTTTTCCGGCGTTGCTGCTCTGCATTAACCAGTAACCGATGCAGCGTTATCCATCCGTCTATCCATAGGAAGTCTGCTTTCTCTTGTTAAACAGGAGGCACAGGCCAGAACACCAGGCGGGCATTTTCCCCAGCAAGTCCTGTCTCCCCGGGGACCAGGCATCTTATCTCTAGGCCCATGTCTGGCTTTTCCTGCTGCAGAGAAATGGCCTTTTTATCCAGATGCCGTGGCTCCTTATCAGGCAGGAGTAACAGTCCTAGGTGTTTACGCCTCCAAGTGCAAACACGTTTGTTTTCATTAAAATTTAATTTTGAAGGAAAGGGGAAAATGTTGGCTCAAAGAGCACTGGCATTTCATCTACTTAGGTTTGCGGGCAGAAGTCCATCCAAGCCAGCACAGAGCATTCGCTTGGAAAACTGGATGAAGAAAGAGGCAGCAGTTCACTGAAAAAGCTTCATCCGTGGCTGGCCAGGCAGAGGCGTGACTCAGAGTACAGACCTGGGCCTGCCCAGCAGGCATCTTCCCTCTGTGGTCTAGTCTCACCTGGAGCGAGGCCTTGGGTGCTAAGCACAGAGGCCTCCTGTCGGCAGTCCTTGTCCTTCACTGAGCCCCTGCTGAGTCCCGGGTTCTGCCCAGTGGGGGTTGTTTTCCCACCTGACAGGTGAGAACACCGAGGCTCCCGGGGACCCGCGGCGAGCCCAGTCCAGTCTGAGGACAGGCCACTTCGCGTAGACCTGGGGTTTAAGCCCAGGTCTGTCTTGCTCCAGAGCCCACGCTTGTTGCCCTGAACTTGGCCCCTTGAGTGACAGAAGAGAGCACGGTGGCAGGGATGGTTTCCCAGGTGCCGCACAGGGGACACGGGGACACAGCCCCACGGCACATGATCGAGGCAGTGCCTCAACTCAAGAGAGTAGACGCCCTTCTCGTGAAGAAACCTGAGGAACAGGGATGCGTCGGTTTGCGACCAGCTGCAGCTGCTCCTTCCTTAGAGGTTAACTGAGCCAAACGACTAGAATTCATCTTCGGGGGTGTGTGGGTGGTCTAGGCTGGCGTGAGCCGTAATCACCTAATGCGGGGGCACATTGTGACTGGTAAAAAGTGCTCTGGGAGCATCGCTGTTGTGAGATTTTTTTTTTTAATTACAAAAGAGACCCTCTAATTGAAGAGGAAGGGATAAATTGGGAGTTCGAGATTTGCAGATACTGACTGGAGTATATAAAATAGATAAACAAGTTTATACTGTACAGCACAGGGAACTGTATTCAATATCTTGGAGCAGCTTACGGTGAAAACGCATGAAAACAAACATATGTATGTTCATGTATGACTGAAGCCTTGTGCTGTACACCAGAAAATGACACGACGTTGTAAACTGACTATCCTTCAATAAAAAAGATATTTTTTTAAAACGACCCTCTAATAGGGGAGGTGATGATAATGGTGCTGCAGGGCTTCCTGAGGGTTCGTCACACCAGGGAAGGTAGGACATTGAGGGTACGGCCGATCCGCTCATGGTTACGCCAGGAAGGGCTCAGGCCCTCGATGGCTGATCGTTAAAAAAAAAGAAAAGCCATTAATAATCGGAAGGTTTTGTGTTTTGCTTTATGGTTTGCAGCACAAATTGAACACGAGGTCCCACCAACAAAGAGATATTCCTCCTACCCCGTAGTTTTTAAATGGTATCTCCTTATTTTTTTGTTTGTTTTTTTATCGGGGGAGGGGGAGGTAACTAGGTTTATTTTCTACTATTATTATTTTAATGGCGGTTCTGGGGGTCGAACCCAGGACCTCACGCATGCTAAGCATGTGCTCTGCCACTGAGCTGGACCCTCCTCCTGATTAGCTTCCTTCTGAGGCACATTTTCCTAATTCTCTGCGATGAATGTATGTTGCACTGTGGTGTGTAGGGGTCTTTTTCAACGAAATTTAGCAGAAACTGGGATAACCTTCTAATATTCTTTCTCTCCTGTGTGCTGCCTTTTTCTGACGATTGGCTTTTGTGGTCCATTGAAGATCATTCTCTTACTTAATCCTTGCTGAGCCAGCTTGTTGCCTGGCAACAGACGTTGTGATGATTGCCTTTCCTCGCTGGGCCTCTTCAGTGGTGCTGCGCGGCAGAGCAGACCAGTGCGAAGCGATCTCGGACCAGAGCAAGCAGCGAGCCTCTTTGACCTTCTCAGTGGTCACACTGTCTGCCTCGTGAGACGTGGGGACTGCTGCCAGCGTCCCCAGACATCGCATTTAATGAATGTGCTAGAGGGAATGGCAGCTTCAGGATCCGTGGTTCCTAGTCTCCGCCCCCGCACCGGCCATGGACACCTCCTCTGCCTGTGCCTGGTGTGCTCCTGGTCTCCAGAGCGCCCTTCCTGGTCCTCTTGCAGCAGATGCGTTTTAGTGCCTGCCTAGCTGCCCCTCCCCACGCCTCTCTTTTTCCCCGACACCTTCTTACCATCAGCTTCAGGAGAGGTGGGACCCAGCTCCTGAGACAGAATCATGATGGGGCTAAGAAATGCAGTTGGTCTTAATAAACCTTTTGCTGGGAAGTGCTTGGGACTTGAGCACGTGGTGTAACTTTGGCCAAGGAGACGTGAGAGGAAGTGGGCTGGAGTGGGGAGGTCCTGAGAAAAGTGTCTTTGTTCCTAAAAAGGAGATGCATGAAGCAAAAGTGGTCTCCAGCACCTGGTTTGGGAAGATGGGGAGGGGGCCCTAAGACCCCTGCAGCCACCTGGAACTCATGGGATTTGACAGATCAAGGACAAGGAGCCACAAGGGGACAGGAACTGAGTCCTTGATGGCATCACTGAGTCCCCGCATCCATCATCCGAGGACTGCCCTTTCTCCTGAGTTCTGTGTAAGCTCCTAAATCCCCCCCAAGCTGAAGCCACGTTGCATTGGGTTTTCTGTTCTTTGCAGACAAGGGCGTCTAAGGGAGCCGGTGCTGATGCTGAGTGGTTGCACGATAGGGTCCCCTGGCCTCCCCCTTTACAGGGCAGCCCAGAGCCCTCACGGTTTGTACCTGTGGTCCTGGTGTGGCTGTCGTGAGTGCCCTAGTTTACTCTCAGAATTGAAAACTCGAGTTTCAGGCGATCGGTCATATGGTTATTGTCGTGAGTGGAGCTGTGTCCCTGCGGAATTCTGTGTTGAATCCCTGCCCCTGGTAGCTCAAGTGGGGCCTTTGGAAGTAGGACTGTTGTTGATGTGATTAGTTGAAATGAAATCACACCAGGGTGGGGGCAAATCCAGTAAGACCGGTGTGCTTATATAAAGAGGGCGCTGGGGGGAGGCCTGGTACAGATCCTTCCCCAGGGCCCTCAGAGGGCGCATGGCCCCGCAGACACCTTGATCTCAGATTTCTGGACCCAGAGCGGCAGGACAGTATGTTTCTGTGGTTTAAGCCACTCCGTTTGTGGTACTTTGTTACGGCGGCCCCAGCAAGCTCAGTCACCCTTCCTACAAGGGTGTCTGAGCAGGAAGATGTCGCTTCTGGCCGCAGGTGGTCAGCATTGTCAGCCTGGTGGGGGCCTCAGAGGAAGGGAGGATGTCAGCAGGCATGGATGATGTGTGGAGAGAGGGCATGAAACACCCAGGAAACACATGAGAAAGCAAAACTACAGACAGTCCTGTGACCTCACCTTGACCGTAATGAAACTGGGCCAAGAGAAAGCTCGGCTTGAGGGCATCCAGCTCCTGTGAGAAGGAGGCCCCTTCTGCCGTGAGTGGCAGGAGGAGGCAGTCAGGCACCCCGTGCAGCACGGCGTTGATTCCAGTGCGCACAGACACGCCAGTGACACAGCAGAGAGGGCGGGCACAGGTCCATGTGCACCCCAACACCTAACTGATGACAGAAGTGGCACCGCAATGCTGCGGGGGAAAGACATAGTTTCCAGTGTTGCTAAGAGAATGAAGTATTCACATGGGAAGAAAGAAAGAAAGAAATGGAACCCCTACCTCACACTGTATGCAAAAGTCAATCCCAGGTGCCTTAAAGAAACGGGAAAGGCAAAGCCACAAAGATTTAAAAAGATGTTCTAGGAAGCTGTCTTCATGTCTTTGGGGCAGGGAATGATTCGTTAAGTCATTAAAAACATTCATCTTAAATGAAAATAGTGATAAATTTGACTAAATTAAAATCAAGACGTTGTTCATCAAAGTACAACAAGAGAGAAAATGGAAGCAAGAAGGCAGGTCTCAGAGTGGTGGACGATAACCTGCAACAAATATAACCAAGAAAGACCGGTTTTCCAAATATCTAAAGAACTTCAAGCTGATGAGAAAAAAGCAGACAATCCAGTGGGGGAGAAAAGAGGCAAAAGACTGGGACAGGCACTTCCCACAAGGGACAACCCGAGGGCCAAGAAGCATTTGAGAAAGGTGTTCAGCCTCATTGGAAATGATGCCAGTACCTGTTAAAACTATGAGATACCCCCTTGCCTTCCAGACCGGCAAAAGCTGTGAAGTCTGACCAAGCCAAGCAAGGGCAAAGACGTGGAGCAGTGGGAACTCCAGTACACTGCAGGTGGGCGTGTAGACTGGTGCAGTGACTTTGGAAAATAATTTGACGTCATTTAGAAAATGTGACCTTTGCACATGCTGTGACTCACACATCTACTTCTGGATGTAGAACCTAGAACAGAACAAACTCGAGCAGACATCAGAATCTCCCGGAGGGCCCCCACCGCCAGAATTTGAGTCACTTGGTCTTGGGTGGGACCCAGGAGTCTGCATGCCTAACTGGTTCCCTCCCAGGTGATGCTGCTGCACTGCTGACCTGGGGACCACACTTTGAGAACCACCTGCAGAAACGCGCGCTCAT